ACTGACAAACACTTCCAAGAACCCACTGTGTTCTATGATGTTATTGGTTAGAATTGACAAACAGTTCCAAACACCCAGTGTGTTCTATGATGTTATTGGTTACAATTGACAAACACTTCCAAACACCCACTGTGTTCTATGATGTTATTGGTTAACACTGACAAACACTTCCAAGAACCCACTGTGTTCTATGATATTATTGGTTAGAATTGACAAACACTTCCAAACACCCACTGTGTTCTGTGATGCTATTGGTTAACACTGACAAACACTACCAAGAACCAACTGCATTCTGTGATACTATTGGTTAACACTGACAAACACTTCCAAGAACCCACTGTGTTCTATGATGTTATTGGTTACAATTGACAAACACTTCCAAACACCCACTGTGTTCTGTGATGCTATTGGTTAACACTGACAAACACTTCCAAGAACCCACTGTGTTCTATGATGTTATTGGTTACAATTGACAAACACTACCAAGAACCCACTGCATTCTGTGATACTATTGGTTAACACTGACAAACACTTCCAAGAACCCACTGTGTTCTATGATGTTATTGGTTAACACTGACAAACACTTCCAAACACCCACTGTATCCTGTGATGCTACTGGTGTGAATTGACAAACACTTTCAAACACCCACTGTGTTCTATGATGTTATTGGTTAACACTTAGAAACACTTCTAAGCACCCACTGTGTTCTTAATGTTATTGATTAGAATTGACAAACACTTCCAAACACCCACTGTGTTCTGTGATGCTATTGGTTAACACTGACAAACACTTCCAAGAACCCACTGTGTTCTATGATGTTATTGGTTAACACTGACAAACACTTCCAAACACCCACTGTATCCTGTGATGCTACTGGTGTGAATTGACAAACACTTTCAAACACCCACTGTGTTCTATGATGTTATTGGTTAACACTTAGAAACACTTCTAAGCACCCACTGTGTTCTTAATGTTATTGATTAGAATTGACAAACACTTCCAAACACCCACTGTGTCCTGTGATGCTACTGGTTAGAATTGAAAAAAACATCCAAACACCCACTGTGTTCTATGATGTTATTGGTTAGAATTAACAAACAATTCCAAGCACCCCCTGTGTTCTATGATGTTATTGGTTAGAATTGAT